GTGTCCTGCTGGAGCTCCTTTGCCACTGATAAAGTCCATAATTGGTATGCACAGTGTACATTCCTGCCCAGACCGAGAAAGCAGGTGTTGTGGAGACCAATAAAATCATTTGCATGGATCCAGTAACTAGAGAGACATGGCTCTTGAACTGGAACCCCAGCAAGGTGTGCATAGCTGAAACCCAGGCTGGCCCTGCCTGAATATCAGATGATTTCCAGACTTACAAGGCAATGTCAGTGGTGCCAACAAGGTATGTCTGACAGGGCTTTTGTTGCAGTATCGTTCATTTACTCAAGTGCATATAAGCAAATGTTCATTTCTTCCGAAACTCCCTTTCTCAGCGGTTGACAAAGATGAAAGCTGATGTTCTGTAGAATTAGTCTTATCATTGATTTTCTTTTTGTCAGTTTCCACCATTCTTTTTATTCCTCCCTGCTATTGAGGTTGCAGAAATATCTTCATAAGCAGAGTAATACTTCAGAGTAGGAAGACAAGGGCTGGAATTGATAGAGTAATGTACCAAAATGTTTATTTGTTATAACTCCAGAATGAAGTTTTATCCTGAATGAAATACTCTCATACATGCTCTCTTGGACTCTCTTCCATATTATAGCTGAGCAGACCAGTATGTTCCCTTATATATAAAGCTAGGTTTATTTTACAGCAAATTGTGAATGGAAGATTGTCCATTCTCTCGAGTCTGTGAATTAAATTGGGTTTGTTTGTTAATGGAAAATTCACACTAAAAGACTCTTAAAAAAAAAAAAAAATAAAATGGAAGCACAAGTAGTTTGTTTAGAGGTTGACAGTCAGCTGGGTGAAATCAGCGATTGAAGTAAGTGATGGCAAAAAAGCCCTGTGCAATATTAATGGGTTTAGGAAAACCACTGGAAACAAAATGTTTATTACCTCTTTAAATGTATGTTTATATACAGCTTTAAGTGGTTCATCACAGTCTGTACATGCAACACTTGTTTTTAATTTTGTGCTATCCAGAGAGCTGCAGTAAGAAGTCATTAATTTAAAAAATGACATTTTCAACTTGAATGATTGAAATCCAGATTAGGTACTCAGAGGGAGAATAGAGAGGAGATTTTATTGTGTACAACCTGAGCCATCTGTATGAAATGCTGCTGCTGATGTTTTGGTTCTTAGAAAAAAATAACTTGTCGTATTGAGAATATCATCTAGCCCTTCTGAGATGACGGGATGGAATTTCAGTCTTATTTTATGCAGTGTTAAAGACAGCTTCTCGATACATCTGTGCCGAAGTACAGGTTCCATTTTGTTTTGGGGCACCTGTGCCCTTTGCAGTCACAGTGGGCAAGGTGGAACCCGCATCATGACTTGGGCAAATTTAGGTATAAGGCAAAAAATGGGATTTTTTTTCACTTTTTTTTCTTCTTTTTTTGTAATTAGTATTTCCAAAGAAAAGCCCTTGCAGTATGTGCAAGGGGGAAGTGGGGGGCTGAGAAGTCCATGAGTCTGAACTGGGGCTGGGAACGTGCTGGGACCAGTGGCACCTGTGTGGCTGTGCAGCTCTCTGAAGACTGCACAGTGCAGGGAGCCCTGTCAGGATGGTGAGTTGTGCACTACTGTAGATACCATGGGGGCTGTGATATTTATATCTCCTAAAGGAGGGAGCACTACATTAAATGTAAAGCTGCCGTAAAAGAAATCTGTCTGCGGAGCTCACTAGGGTGGATAAAAGCTTCAGTAAGTCTCCTTAATATAAATTGACTTTGGTTGGAGTGTTGTTTTTATTTTTCTTCTGTAAGTTCAGGTTCCTGTCACTGTAAGTAGTCACGCATCCTAAACGTTTGAACCTGTATTCATTTGCTGTTTCCCCGTCTGAGAACTGCTATCTGATCAAACCAATATTTTTTAATTATGCATTTACAGGCAGATGGGAGAATAGTTTACAGTCAATGTATGATCTTCTCCGCAAATCTTGGAAAATTGTGTTGTGTTTTTTTTTTTTTAATATTGCCTTATCAGTTTCTTTTTTTTATTACTGATGACTTCATTCTGTTTGAATTCAATGCTTCAGTTTCTTTGGGGTAAACTAATAGATTATGTATGCGATATTTGCACAGTGCTGATTGAATTCATCTGGTGAGTTCGAATGTGGTTCATATATTCACATAATTGTCAGGAGCCAACTTGAAATTCAGAACTGTTTCATGAGCCATGCACAGGGCATCATATTCATCTCACATTTCTCAGGAGTGGGTAAAACTTTCATGGTAAGCTAGATATGCAGCTCTTTCAACAGCCAATGTCTTTTGCATTTGTGCCTATAAACGGTGATGGAGAAAAAAATTAGATGTGGCATTTTAACTGTTTCTTGAAAAAATGAAGCTGATTGTCCCCCTTCCGATCTGCTACTCCCACCGTCCTATCAAATTCTGAACTTGCTGGCCAGTTCTGACCAGATTTGACAGATGATTAGATGTTCAAAAGATAAAAACTGTGTAATCTTCATGAAAATGAGCAGCCTGCTGGAGGGGCCCAGATGAATGCCCGTGCTGGGGAGAGGCTCCACAGTGTGAACTCAGTCCCTTCACTGGACACAGGAGTACTCACAGGAGTGGAGCAGAGGAAATCAGGTTTCACAGAGCTGCTTGTTTCTACAGAGATTATGCTTTTCATGTGGTGCTGTCTTTCATTCAGATGTTACTGCTTATGCTCATAATGAGGTTTTGTACTTATCATGTGGTATAGGAGGGGTTACCCATGACAAAGCTGTATATACATATACATACATACATATAAAATATATATACATCTAAATATATATACATATAAAATCAGCTTGATTTCTGCATTAGATCCACACCTCCTTGCTGGCTGGATGGGTCTAAGCAGAGGGAAGTTCACCTATTGGAGATCTGCAGTAAATGGAACACAAGCTGCTGTTACTGTCTCTCACAGTATTTGACATTTTGCTGGAATGAGTCAGTCAAGCTCAAATTTCATTTAAATAGAAAAAAAAAAAAAAAAAAAAAAACAACCAATAAAAACTTACAGTATTTTCAGTTTACCCAAGTTTACTTAAGCCAATATACCTAGAGGTAGAAGGGGGATGTGACCTTCAGGCCACCGGCCACAGATGCTGATTCCATTTGCAGAGAGCTGCAGGGAGCCAGCTCAGCTCAGCAAACTGGCCATGTTGTTGAGGATCTCAGCATTTCCTTCTCTCAGCTAAGGCAACTTTAGGTAATGGTATTGGTAAAGCAACAGGAGCAGTATTGCATTTTGGGCCTTATCTGCATGCTAGCAGCTCTAATTAAAGTCTTTGTCTGTAGTCACAAGGGAAGTCTGGGAATTTCACAGGTATTGTATTGCTCACAGTGGGCCAAGCTTCACTGTTCTAAGTGATATCCCCCATTAGCTAGTCCTTAGTTTGAGTATTTTGCAAACTGGAGATGGTTCTCTGCTATTTGACAACAATTCATGCAAGGAACAGAGGCATTTATCTGTGGAAAGAATCGTAGGGAAAAGGTAATGTACTGGTTTTTTTTTCAATACTCCACGATGTTTGTGCAAGCTTTCCGCACTGTCTTGGCAGATGATAAGAAAAATGTCCAATGTTCTGGAAGAGCTCAGTAAGCCAGCCAGAGAAGCTTGAATCCTCAGGGGCTTTGTAGAATAGAAGGGCTGGTAGCTTGGGATCTGGGGAAGACAAGTAATTTAATCATTTGATTTTTTGTGGAAACACACTGGTGTTGCCAGGAAACACTTCCAGCCCTGCATACTCTGTTGCACTTGCACCCTACATGGGATTCCCCTCCATTCATAATTAGCCTCAAAAGTAATTTATTCTAGATTGCTATTTGCTATTAGAAAATATGTATTATTTAACTGATGGGTTTATGTCTAGTCTTCTCTATGTACTTTCCAAATTCAGTTTGCTATGCAATACACACAAAAGGCTTATCTAGATTCTGGCCAGCTCTTAGTGGAGTACGGTGTGACAAGGTGTTCCACAGAGCTCATGTGAATAAGTCTGTACTCTGTAGCCCCTTACTGGTGTGGTGAAGCTGAGGTTAAGAGAATATATGAATACGTGCTGCAGCAACAGCAGTGTGAGTTTAAAGTTGCCCCAAAGAAATTCTGTAATTCCCTGTGAACTTCAATAAATGCTACTGAGCAACGCAGTCAGTGCGCTTCCCAGTGCTGGCTAGAGTAGGGTTGGAAATAGGTCTGAGAAGCTTTTAATTTATTCATTTTCATGTGCCTGTATTTTATTTTACTAGAATTCCTAGGGATTTTCAGGATTGTTTTTTAATCCTTCTGATAAGCAACTCCACTAGCCCTTACCAAGGCAGCTTGCAGTGTATCCAGCGTAGAATTGAGTCTTTGTCAAATTACTGATCAATCACTACCTTTAAAAAAATGGTATCAAAATTCAGTAGTGTGCTTTCCCATCTCTTTTGCCTCACCTCTGTGTTTGTGGCTGATGTTTTAGTTCTTGGTATAGTTGGGAGCGAGGTTGTTTTTTATGAGATAAAACTTTTTTTCTGTGCTTCTCTGTGAATATTGTCTATTCTTTACCTTGAACAAATGTAATTTTAGGGAAATTCCACATTTAGCATGGGAGCAAAAGGGAACGTTTTCCTGGCAGCTTATCATCATCATTATTATTAAAATATGATAGCCATTTATAGCTGCTTATAGGAATGTTAAAAGTTTCCTTGTGCTCCCCCATCTGTCTGCATCCATCTGTTGTCTCTTGTCTTGCGCTGGAATTGTTAAGTTCTTTGGACAGGGACAGCCTTTTTTAAAAAGGGGGGATCAAATTCGCAATTAGGAGTTTTTTAATGTGGGAAGGCAAAAATAGGGCTGATGTGAGCTAGTGGGCGCTATGGAAATTAAGAGTCAAATATTCACAGTCCATTTGTCTCAGGTGTGGGCATTGCATGTGTGCTCATGCGGGTATCTGAAAATTGTTTTGATTTGTGTAGATATACGAGTTTCATTTAGCGTCTTTTTCTCAGTGGCTGTGCAGGTGGTGGGAATGCTGACCGAATCCAGAAGTTACGGAAGGAGTACCATCAGGCCAGGCGAGAGGGCTTACCTTTCTATGAGGACGATGAAGGACGAACGCAGCTGTCTGATTGCGACCACCGCTGGGTATGTCCACACTGTGCTGCACAGGGATGTTGCAGTGTCCAGGGTTTGCAGAAGAAACTGATTTATTTGTATTTTCTAGAAATCCTGTGTCAGTTTATCATGAATTTGGGGGGCTTACAGAATTGGAGAAATCTTTAATGCCAACCCTTCTACCTCAAGCAAACACTGATAATATGAAAACTTGGCTGAGAATACTGTGCTTGTTTACTGCCTTTGGTCTAGGCCCGGGCTTCCTTTCTCCTGAGGTCCAAGGTATGCAGTCCTTGCCAAACTTTGTCACATGTGGCAGCATCAAGGCTTTTCAGCAGGCTTTATGGTACTCTGGCAGTTCCTCTGGTGTTTCCGTGGGTTAACGACAGCATTGGAAGAACAGACTCTGTTCTTCCTGCAAAGTGAGAGGGAGGAAATACAGGCATGTCTACCCTGCCCTTCTTTCTGCTCACAGGACAGTAGCAATCTGGCAATGATACATCCTCAGTCACTTCCATAAGGTGAAAAATGGAATAATTTGCTCCTACTCCATCAAAAGATCTTAAAATGTTTTACCACTATACTGTTATGGTGGTCAAATGTTACAGGCATTCTGTATTCCTGATTATACACCTAGGACTCTCACTACACAAAGACATATTATCTACTCACTGCTGAAATGTAACCTGTGGTAGAACCAGAAATTAAGTCAAGAGTGCTAGATTTTTTAATGTATTAAATAAATGCAACAGCTGTAGTCTACGGGATGACAATTATGGCACTCATGAGCTCCACCTGAACAGATTTCAGAGTTGGACTCTCTTTACAAGTAATTATAATCAACTGGCATTCAAAAATGTTGCGGTGCAATATATGCTAAATTTGAAATTTGAGTTAAAAAAGAGGCACGATATATTAAAAATCTTAAAAATCTAAGTACACCTGGCTTTGAGCTAACATTGTTTTTTAATGGTACTCCAAACTATTGGTACAAAATCTGAAGTGAAATTTTCAATGATTGGGTTTATAGACAAAACAATACCTATGTGAGACTATAGACTTCATTGCAATCACAAAGATAAAGTAGATAAAGTTCAAAGGGGGCTGTGTTTGCATAAATCATTGTCCTTATTTGTTCATTAACCCCATTCCCACCCCCCCCACCCCCAAAAGAAAAAATATATATTATTTGAATCATTTGCTGAAAAATTCACATTCAGTGAAGTAATTCTTTCCTTTGAGAAGTTAACTTCAATCTACTGCCTTAGATTTTGTGACCTGAATTTGCCATTCTTCTTCTGAATAGCTTTTGTAAACTGAACTGAGAACATTCATCAAATGCTTCTTTCTGTTGAAATTGTGTGGTGTGTAGAGTGTTCTGACAGGAGCCCTGGACTGGCCTAGTGGTACCTCTTCAGCAGACTGAGTTTTTTTACTTCTTATCTGAAACTGATAAAGCTTTATTAATCCTCAGAGGAGGCTGATATTTATGGCCCAGTGTAGTTTCCTAAGATTCACAAAGGTTTCTTCCAGGTAATCCTTTTTAAGCCTTTCCTATTAGGTATAATACCCCAAGATTACTGATTTCCAAAGCTTTACTTTTCCTATGAGGCAAGTTGTCCTTAATCAGAGCAGCTGAAAGGGAGCTTTGAGTATCTCAATCCTGAAATGATTAATAATAGTGGCACCAGGATTGTTTCTTTTAGTCCTTCAACTACAAAATATTTTAAAACATTTTTTGTTGTGAGGAATTGCAGTCTGCTTATAAATCGGAGTTTACCTCGAGGGCTTTAATACACTGAAGTTTGTTGCTGCAAGTTTCTCTTGTTGAAGTTGTTTACAAATTTCAAAGACTTCTGGTCTCATCATTGCAACAGTATCATCCATTGATCCTCCCAGCCAGGCTTTCATAGGCGGTCTCTATAATACTGTGACAATAGCTTGTTCTCTTTCTCCTGGCTGAAATTTCTTTAATTCAACTCCAACATGTGATTTTACCCTTAAAATATATGTTACATCAATCCATTCAAACAAAAACAAAGGATCAAAATTAGAATCTAAATATTCAAAGTAAAACAAATGTCTCAGAGCATCTTGCTAGGAGAGTCCTCAGGATATTTTATAAGCAATGTCATGTCGCCTGCCTCGGGCTGCTGACCCTCAGTAGCACAGTGTGATACAAGCAGAACACCAGCTGATTTTTTACATCTTTACTCAATCAGTAAAGAAACATGTTGATGACTAATTGCATAATTGTAAATAGAAACTTCAGGATATCAGACCTTTCTTTAAAGAATTGTTAGACAGCTGGAGAGGAGGAAAACCTTCTGGTACAGGTTTTTCTTGCTTCACACAGAAGGTAATATCACCAGGGAAGCTGCAGCTGGAAAGGAGATCCTGGACCTTTTTATATATTTTTAATACTCAATTCGTTCTTTCTTTGTTTTTGTCAGTCAATTGTATTACCTAAGCCAGCTTTTCTATATGATTTCTTTCTAACGTACAGCAGCTGCTGTAATCACTAGTCACCATCTCACGAAACATGCAGACAAGTTGGGAAATAACAGAGGATAATTTCAGAAGACGCTATCCTGTCACAAATCAGCAGCCTCAGAAATGGACGCTGGGTCTTGTCCTCCAAAAAAGTATCTGAGAACTCATGAGGCATATCTCTATCTGATAAAGCTGACTTTGACAAGTGGCCTTTAGCTGACACTGTAATGGGACAGAATTTCTAATAGAAGGGGTATTTCTAACAATCTACTTTTTTTTTTTTAAGTGGGATAAATCAAGTTAAACTGCAAAGCTGACTAAAAAGCCAGCATTGTAAGGCAAAATGATCTCATGACAGGCAATTGGGATCCATAAATGTTTAAAAATAAGGTCAAAAATTCATTTTAAATAGGACTGCTATTCTCTCATCATCCATTCTCCCCCCATGTATCCATTTTCCAGTCCTCTTCTGTTCCTCTCATCTGTTGCTGGATGAAATTTTTGCTCTCTTGCGCCTTCATTCTGCTCTCCCTTCCCCACAGTCTGTTCTTTTTCTAAGTAACTGAATAATTCAGTTTCGTGTGTCTCCATAAACAGACACGTGTATACAGCGCAGTCTGTGCTATAGAGTCAGATCCTTCAAAATTCATTTCCACTCTCTTTGTGCTTTGGTTTGTTGCTGAGTTTTGTGTCCTTTGGACTCCTCCGCACCTGCTTCCCCCTCAATCCCCCCCGCCTTGTTTTTCAGATTTACAACTAGAAAAATGATGGTATGGTTTTACAGGGTGGATCACAAGGCTTAAAGTAAACCCCAGCTAGATCTAGTTGACCAAAGGGGAGGGTGAGGGTCAGTGTAAATGCTGTTTGGGAGAAAGGATGCCTGTTGTTGTCAGTACACTGTGAGATTGCCCTAAAATTTTCTGATACTTAGGATGTCTGTTGGGATGTAATCACCTGAAGACAGAGTTCAGACGTGTGTACATGTTGATGTCTTAGCAGAACATCAAACAGTGAAAGCAATCATGAAAATATTCTATACAAACCTAATCCTAAATCTATTGGGACTACAGGAAAAAAGCTTAATACATCTGTATATGTATTACTGGATACTGCAGTATCGTGAAATGCTGAGAGAACTACAGTAAGCTGCAAAAATGCAGGCAATCTCCCTTGGAGCTGGAGATCCTTTTCATGAAACACTCTTTTTCAGGGATTTATAGTCGTGGAGTAGTAACAGATCATGAGAAATAGAGAAGGAGATGTCAAGATAAGCTACAAAGTATGCATGTACTCTTCTATTTAAGAACATTTAAATAATGAGGAATTAATCGTGTATTTGAGGATTTACTTGGATTGTCTTACAGACTTTGTACAAATCCAGTTATTTAACATCAATTCTTTCCTTCAGGGTGGCTGTAAATTCTTGAAATTCTATCCTTATTGTGTACATTCGAGGAGTACGAGTAATACCAGCCACACTGCAAATAATTCTCCACCTGTTAGTGGCCACATCAGCTTCGTTATTCTAAACTACCTATTAAGTGGTTCTAAGAGTTGCTTTTTTATTTGCAAATCAGGTTTGTAAATTGATAAGTAGCCTGAAGATGTAAAAAAAATCTGCCTCTGGATACTGGCTGTGGACGTTTTGATTGAAACAAATCTGTAATGTACTGAGTTTTGTCAGTTCCTCGTTGAGAGTACAGAAGAAGAATCCTGCCTGTCTGTGCTAAAGGCCAACTGCTTTACTGTGGTAGGAAGCCAAGTTTAAGAATCAAACAGAAAAAAAAAGAAAAAAGAAAGGAATGTTTAGGACTGTATTTTTCCATAATGTGTCAAAGGGTTCTATGCTTACTTTCAGGATGAATAAGGATTTGTTTGTACTTTTCATGATCAATTAATTCCGAGTTCAGGATGCTGCATGTCAAATAGGTTAGGTTCCCAAATCACACTAACATTTGTGTTGGATCATGGTTAGAAACCAAAATTCCAATTTCCAGAATAAGAACATTCCTGTCTTCTCGTGCAATGGGAGAAGTGATAATTTTACGTACTTTGTGAAACCATATAGCAGGAACTGCTGTGAATTCAAGACTTTGAGCCCACAGACTATTCATCAGTAAAAACATTGAATTAAAAAATAAAAGAAAAAAAGAAAGAAAAAGACAATGACTTAGGATGTAATTGCTTTGAAAGTTCTAGATCAGAATTTTCTGATATATGTTCTATGTTTTTACAACGTATTAATTGACATGAACTGAAGTGCTTCATGAGGATGCATGGTTAGCTCACCAATCAAAAACTTTTTATGATCTCTACTTAACTCTGTATGGCAAAGGCTTCAGATTGGGTTGTATTCTAAAAAGCTGTTCTTAGGAAGCAGAGATGTTTTGAAATTTGCAGGCTGGATTTGAGTGTGGGTTCTGGGGGAAATTATTTTAGAGAAATCCCTGCCAAACCTCATGTGAAAAATAAGCTATTCCAAATGGCACATGCAAGGAGAGCCAAATTCAGCTTCATTAATACTAGTAATAATGAGT